TAATGCTGGAACACTAGAAAAGAGCACAAAGTGCAGGCTCTTCAACACCAACATATAAAATGTCTAGCATTTTTGTCTGCGAGGAAACGTTCTATAATAATAGATGACTCAGATGGCGAGCCAATGGCATTCATGAATAACCTCTGCACTCATTAGAGTCAAGTCGAGCGAGCTGCAACTCCCGGTGCCGAAAGGTGGCTCACGCCCCTACATGGCTAATTCCCCTTGTCTAACCCCCAAGACGAAATGATAGTAGCCGGCTGGCGGGAAAAAATCATGAATTATATTAAGAGGAAGGAGCAAAATGTTACAAGTTTCTTGAAGTGCTTGCATGAATAACAGTCCACCAAGGTAACGAGATTATACAGCCAGATAGTGCGACAATAAGGCACAAAACTGGTGAGGGTACTTAGACATGCGACGACGTGACACCTAGCTCCTACCCATCGGGCCATCGACCAAGCACAAAATTACAGCCTTCCATCTTGGAAGGCTCAGGCGGGGAACGTTCCAATGAAGGAAGGGAAGCAAGCGATGGTCTTCATCATCGACATTCTTTTATTGCCGTGCGACATAGTTCGCGCACATTTTCTTTTCCCTTCCCAAGCTGTGGTACGGATGTTAGTGTTTATGTCGGCAGATACCGTTCAACCACTTCTCCCGGCTTCAAACTCACACTGGAAACTAACAAGCACATCTACGCGCTGTTGTGGTTTGTTCCAATACTGATACTTCAGTACATGTACAGCTAAATTTTGGTTTAGGAAACTGCGAAGAATGTGAATGCTACAGGACCCTCCAGTCATTGCCCGCAAATACCCGGCAAATGCGTGTGACGATGCATTATGATTTACAAGCATTACTTCCATTCTTAGGGTACCCTGAAGGAAGACTTTGAGTCTGTGGAGACTGCCCTAAAAAAATTGAACAAAATAATAATGATAATTTACCCCGAAATCTACTTGTAGTCTTGTACCCTAGCGAATTGCAAGCTGAATGCGAGCGACAATTTGCCTCTCCTGGAGGGAAATGTCGAGGGAGGCGGAGTGCTTTTTTCTGCTGCATGCATGCCCGTGGGTTTGTGTGTGGCTGTTATTCGTGGCAAACCTACCTACTCTTGGTGCTGTCGCTGTTGTGGTACGTCACCTTGGGGACCTTGTAAGAAGAGCTCAGGGTCTGTAGGGAATGCACATTACATTATTATTATTAAGAAAGAGTTTGCTCCCCACACCGGAGCTTGCGCTATTCCGCCGACTTTACTTGACACTTGACTGACTCACGACTGCCATCCAGAGCACACGAGAAGTCCATCTAACCTTCGACTCGGCAAACCTGCAAAAAAGCACCACTCCCTGCTCAATACACAGTGTTTCGAGGAATTCACCCCTCATCAGTTGAGCTTGAGTAGGCTGAGGAAGATTGTGCCTGAAAAGCACCACTTATGTAGTGCTCTCCAGGCACAAACATCACCAGGGATACAAACTTACAGAGACGCTCCGTTTCCAGCACGACAAACACCTTGTGAACACCAGATAGCAGCGTGAGTCATTTGTTTGTGCCTGGTAGGCCTCCACCAAATATGCTAAAAAAAAGAGCATAATTATTATGCTCGTCGCATATCAGGGAAAACGTCCATAATATGCCAAAGGTTTAGCAAGATATGGAAAAAGATATGCCAAAATATGCCAAAATATGCTCGACATAAGCAGAAAGTGTAGATCATTTCAGTAAAATTACAACCTTGGAATATTCTTTGGCTTCACGGCTATCATGCTTTAATATGGTGCAAATCAAAACACATGCGGAATTGTATGGCTGGGGTGTGTCCCCAGCAACAGTAGCGATAGTGTTCATCCATGGGGAAATGTAGCAAACGCCTCAACCATTCCAAATTCATCCATAAAAGGCATTTCTGAACGCATTTTGTCCATAATATGAATGTTTTGTCTTCATTTTCTTCAGAATATTTGAATTATATGCTGGCTATTCCAATATTCCCTTTGTCGCTCAATATGCCATATATGAACTGTCTTACAAAATATGCGGAAATATGCGCAAGCATATTTGGTCGAGGCCTAGTGCCTGGAGAGCACTATATAACTAATTAAGTGGTGCTTTTTAGGCACAATCTTCTTCAGCCTACTCAAGCTCTCAACTGATGAGGGGTGAATTCCCCGAAACACTGTGTATTGAGCAGGGAGTGGTGCTTTCTTGCAGGTTTGCCGAGTCGATGGTTCGATGGACTTCTCGTGTGCTCTGGATGGCAGTCGTGAGTCAGTCAAGTGTCAAGTAAAGTCGGCGGAATAGCGCGAGCTCCGGTGTGGGGAGCAAACCCTTTCTTACAAATCATTGCCGAAGCCGCAACCACTACTTCGTATTATTATTATTATTATTATTATTATTATTATTATTATTATTATTATTATTATTATTATTATTATTATTATTATTATTATTATTATTATTATTATTATTATTACGAAGTAGTGGTTGCGACTTCGGCGATGATTTGTAAGAAAGGGTTTGCTCCCCACACCGGAGCTCGCGCTATTCCGCCGACTTTACTTGACACTTGACTGACTCACGACTGCCATCCAGAGCACACGAGAAGTCCATCGAACCTTCGACTCGGCAAACCTGCAAGAAAGCACCACTCCCTGCTCAATACACAGTGTTTCGGGGAATTCACCCCTCATCAGTTTCTTGCAGGTTTGCCGAGTCGAAGGTTCGATGGACTTCTCGTGTGCTCTGGATGGCAGTCGTGAGTCAGTCAAGTGTCAAGTAAAGTCGGCGGAATAGCGCGAGCTCCGGTGTGGGGAGCAAACCCTTTCTTCTTCTTCTTATTATTATTACAGATAAATTGTGCACTCATAACAACAGCAAAAATGAAGAAATTCAAGTTCCATAACGTTTTCTTGTGACTGTCACACGCACCATTACATTCATTCACACAGTATCACATTCATCTGCCACTACCTTTCTCACATACACTATATTCACACATTGCAAAGGTGCAAACTTCGCTTTTTGTATTTTGTTAGCTGCTGTATTTCTACCTGAAACCATATTAGCTACATGTATATAAGTGTGTGTTTTAGTTATTACATTTTTATGTGACGGCGTTCCACTGATGACAGTCACAAGAAAACGTTATGGAACTTGACTTTCTTCATTTTTGCTGTTGTTATGAGTGCACAATTTATCTTATTTATTGCCATTTTACGACTATTGTCTCCTCGTCGATTGTTTAAATTATTATTATTATTTTTCTAAGCACTCGCAGACTCCATTGCAGCCATTCACACATTATAGGGTACCTCACTTCAAACTCTCCAACTACGGTCTCTTCGCTGCATACGTTCACTTCACTTCCAAAAAAAACAAATAATATTAGATTATTATTATTATACGCACGTCCGCGTTTACGTCAACAGTGAGTCCACGTATTCGCATGTGCCAGAAGACAGGCAGAGTGGGCAGAGAGGAAAGTAAAAAATAAATGTAAGACAGCAGGCGATAGGCACATAACTCATGTTCGATGATAGGTGCTCAATGCAAGGATCTATTCGAAAGATAAAAAAAATAAAACAAGAATAACATTAACAGACACGTAAAAATTAATAAAATTATGAAACAATACAATGCAATAGAGCAATGTCTGACCAAATCCAGTCACCAGCCACCACTTAGTGACGAGTACACGCAGGCGGGAATTTCTCAATTTCTCAAAGCCATGATTGTTGTTTTCTGTTAGAACTGATTGCATAGTTGAGCTCACTTCCCTACTTGCAGGCTCTGGTTTCTTGAGCACTCCTCCTGATTAGTGACAACGTTACCAGCCCTCGTGCAAAGCTCTCCATATGTTTCTCGCGGTTAGAGCAAACTGACTTTGGTACTTTGAGACAATTATTTCGAACCGCTTTGTTGTTGCTCTGTTCGGCCAGTATTAAACGCTGCGTACCGATGAGGAGACCGCACACGGTCGAAACAGCAACAACGAACTGCAACTGTAACTGTTACTGCTATCACCACATATACTTGAGTACATGTGTGTAGTCAATTTATTCCTGTCCATCTCACCGTTTGGTTCTTATTGATCCTGATGATGGTGCCCATGACCAAAAATCTTGGTCGATTTTTCCGTTTCATTTTCAAATGCATCACAGCGGCCATTCGACGAAGCGTTAGTTGCTGTTCTTGGGACTTCATTTTGCTTCGCGATTTCAAAACACTGGTTGACATCATCAGTGATCTGCCTGCAGTGGAGTCTGCACACGCACCCCTACAACTACGCACAACGTGTAGGTAAGTACTGAGCACATGTGATGTCAATAGGGATGTCAATTGGATATTTATCTTATCCACGGCGGGAATTAACCGATGTGCGTGACCGATCCTTTCTATGTTCCTACTTGAAGTATCTTTCCTTTTCCTCTCTCTAGCTCTTCTCTTGTACCTTCTTGCCACTATTCACTTAAAATGCAGCCCCATGATCAACCGCTCCTGAATTCGATTGACGACAGGAACCCTGGCAATCGGACTTGTATGATAATACAGGGAGATTACTCGCCGCATAAAGCGAAGTTCAGGTGACGTCAATTGAGATCTACATGCTTCTGCTGTGCCCTAACCGTAGGGACAACACACAGGTTCTAAATTCTTACTTTCGTGACAGGGTGCTGCGCCAGTAAAGGTAAAGGTTTTGCTGAACTGCTTGTGGAGCGGTTTTAAAAAGGTTTAAATAATTTGTCACGTTTTTCCCTCAAGGCTGGACAGCAAGGAAAGTGGCGCCACTCTGACTGAACCCTGAGTGCATGTAATCCTGTTGCAATGCACACGACACTCCCCTCTCCCAGCATCAGCACGTCATACAGCAACAGACGCAGACACCCCCCCCCCCCACACACACACACGGACCCGTATACGCATACTCATAATATCCATACGCACGCACACGCGCGCTTGCGCGCACACACACACTGCAAGCATAATGTGGCAGTTTTCATATTCAAAGAGTCATTTAAGGGCGCTGGCCACTGCGCAACATGAAGTGAGATTGCCAACAAGAAATTCTGCTTCAACTAGAAGCGAGCAGCCAACTCAGAATGCAGGCATGCGTAACACGCATACTGATTCCCCCACCGTCTGTTCCACGCGGATGAATACAATGCTCCAACCTCACAAGCTGCAAACACGCACAACACTCTCTGTGACACAGCCATACGTCAAACGCAGGGAGTCGTAAAGATACGAGTCCAAAAATAACGTTATGACTCCCTGCAAAACACGACTCCCTGGTCATACGCATGCCATTTTACAACCATTGCAGGAACAGGTGGACTGTTCACACATAACGAGGCCTACACATGCACAAACGCAACAGGCAATGGACAGTGTGGTTTAGGCTACGCAAGAGTCTTGTCGAATGGAATTCCTATGAGGTTATAGACAGGAGATTGCGGCGAGAGCAGCGCAACGCTGCGCCGCTTGGCGGGCCCTGCGTCTCCAGCGAGAGCGGCGAGACTGTCGGCGGTGAGGCACTGCTGGCATCACCGGTTGGCGAGCGACCGGAAACGAAGGCGGACGCAGCTCCTCAGGACATGAGCGGAAAATCCCTCCCACATCATGATCACTTTCATTACCGTGGCCCTTGGTGACGGAGCGATGACTAGGAAAAAAGAAAAAAGAAAAGAAATGAGAAAGACGGAATAAAACCAACAGGGAGTATTCCGTGTGTGGAATATCTATAGACAAACACTATCTTCCCTTCCACTTGAGGTCCAATTGACCCTCCTCAAGGGCAGCATAGCCCCCGGGGGGGGGGGGGGGGGGACCAGAGGACTCTCAGTTTGGGGTCACCAACGGACTACCTGCCAATGAAGGGGAACCTGGGTGGGGGGGGGGGGAGGGATCCGGAGGACTAGGGGCCGGGGTAACTGACGGACTGCCCACCAAGGGAGGAGAACCCTGAGCATCACCAGGGGCACGACTACAAGAGATGGGGGAGGTGTAGGGAGGGAACCAGGGGCTGAACCAACCCTGGGACCGGCGCCACAAGAAGTGGCGCAAATGGGGCCGGCAGAAATAGAGCGGGCCCACCCATGGAGGGAACCGCCGGTCTTTCAGGTGTGGGCCCGGTAGCTGCAACCCCTGGGGGAAAAACTGCCTTTCCCTGCAGCACCCTCAACCGATCCACATGAACAGTCAGGCGCCTAGAATGTCGGGGTGAAGGAGGAGGTCCCACCCGAACAATAGCACACACAACTCCCTTGACTACTTCAACCTGCCACGGGCCAGTCCAGGGGCGGAACAGCTTAGGACTGGACCCAGGGGCGGAACAGCGTGGAGCCAAACATAGTCGCCAGGTTAGACCGTGAGTAGCTTAGTTCGCCGATCATACACTGCCTTAGCCACCCTGCGTGCTACAGCAAGGCGATCGATCACGTACAAATCCAAAAGCCCGACCCAAAGACGACTGAAGATAAGACATGTATACGGACGGGTAAACGGGCTTCCACAGGGGTATTAGGTGGAGGTAAGAATAAGTCCATGGGTATACGCCAGGTTTCCCTTCCAAACAGCACAAAATGGGGAGTAAACCCGGTGGACTGGTGGACCCCGGTATTGTACGCAAATTGCACCAGGGAAAGATGTCTATCCCAGGAGGCTTGGGCACCGTCAACGTATGCACGAAGAGCGATCTGAATGGTGCGATTTGCACGCTCTACCAAGCCATCAGAGTGAGGCCGGTACGGGGTCGTGCTGGACTTACACACCCCCGACAACTTAAAAAGGCATGACAGAAGGCCACTCCCAAAATTAGGGCCTTGGTCAGAGTGCAATTGGCGAGGGACACCAAAATTCATGAATACACGATTGACGAAAAAGCCCGCAACCGTCTCTGCTCTCAAATCCTGAACAGGAATAATCTCGACCCAATTAGAAAAAAATAGTCACCAACCAGTAGAATGGGTTTATGACCACGAGCAGTTAGAGGTAGGGGTCCCTTAATATCCATGGCCATGACTTCAAATGGCAAGAAACAAGAATGCGTACAGTGCCTGCATGCACGCTGTGGCGCAACCTGCACAGTCCGCACGCACTCCGCGTGGACACAGAATAATTGCACCGAAAAAGGGGACCACATAGAGGTCGCCGTTAACACACCAATCACAGACCAGTGACCGCGTAGACATGTCACCTACCTCCCCGCATCCCGGCCACGTTCGTGGCCACAAACCGCCTCTGAGCTGACTTCACACCGCACTTGCCACCTTTCCCACTTCCAGTAAGTGCATGTACCTGTGGCAAGAAAGAGGAAGAGCACACGCGAAGGTGAAGCACAGAAGAACCACAGACGACCGAGTGCACCACAGTCGAGTGCACCACAGAAGACCGAGTGCACCACAGACGACCGAGTGCACCATAATTATCAACAAAGGCACACATTTAATGGTTTCTGCCAACATGTCACTGAAGCACCGGTATGGCTCGTTGAAACCTGTGAAGCGTTCCTAAAGGGCAACCTTGCCACCATGCCATTCATAGCAGTAAGAAAGTGATCCGCATTGGAAGTGGAAAGCTTGTGGGGCATAGCTCACCAGTGTCGAAGACTTGACCATCCACATATGCTTTAAGGAGGCTCCCACCTAAAGAAGTAAAAATAAAAGGTCCATGGACACCCTGTTTTTTATGCATAGAATGGTGGAGTGATGTCTCTTCTTCAATTTGGTATGGTTTTTAGGTAGGGTCACCAGGCATAATAAGAGGTATTCTGGTGTATTTAGTGAGTGTACAATTTCTTTATTTTCGGCAAAAAAATGGTAAAAAAAATTGGTTTTTGACCCGAAGAAGCCTCCTGGAAGGAGGATACTAAGTATTTTCTTCATCATGTGTTTAAGAACCACATTTGGAGGTATCTTGGGTACACAAGATAGACTGTGTCTTGGTTTTGCCCTTGGTGAGCCACTTTCTCAAAATTACGGGTACCGAAATTTTCATCGGGAGCTGAATTGTGAAATGGTTCAGCCTGCAGCATTTTGTCCATGGACATATTGATTTTTGTGGCTTTCTGTGATCCTTGAGCCCCAAGGAAACCGATTATAGACAGTTTTGATGGTGTCACCAGGCACTTTAGGCCCCTTCGAAACAATATAGGTGTCAAAATATGGTATTTCAAGGCCAATTCCGAAAATAGCATTTTTTAGAAAATCTGACCATTCTTGCCTTCTTGACTAAATAAAACTACCAATGACATGGTGGTATGGTAATATATTTTAGAAGAAGTTATTTTCATGCTGCAACTTCCTTTGGACATACCAGATAGTCTATGCTTGGAAAGGTACAAAGGTACATGTATAATTACATGTACATGTATGTCATGTAGCCTTCAGCCCTAGCACATTGATATACGAGTAGTGTACATGTAAGGCAGCGAGGTTTCATAACATCCTCGACCATGAAACTGGCACATGGATGTGAAAGCAGGCATTCAAAATCAGGCACACTAAACACTCACACGCGTGCGTGCACACGCACATAAACACCCACCCACTCTCGTGCATGCATCATTGTAACACTACTAGTACATAGGACTTAGTGTAAATAGAAGCATGAAAACCAGCCACTGCACTGGGCATGCATTTGCTGGTTGTCACTTGTGTTGATAGCAGAAGACTCCAGAAAAACATACGCATGAAGGGCAATATGCATCTACACACGCTGGCGTGCACACATACGATAATGGTGTACTGTCATGACCTCTTGGCAATTCTTTTTGGTGTCTCAAATGCGGTTCACAAATGCGCATTCACATGCACCTCCTAAACTGTAAAGCCACTGCCACACTGTCCTTTCGGACACCAGAGAGGAAAGCCATACAGAACCAGCACCGTGAGCCCCCCCCCCCCACACACACCTAGCTTTGCACACACGCACGTGCATACACACATACATGTACACAGACATTAGGGACCTTTCGCACCACGCGTACGGATACGAAACGAATGCTGATTCGTCACCTGGGTTCGAGGATTCGTCAGAGTCCCTGCGGAGAACTCGTTTTCACGAATGGAAGCCTCTTCATTCGTGGCGCGCTCCGAATCCGTCAGGTACACATTTATTTGGATAGGTACACATGTTTTGCAAGGTACACATTTCTCCCTTGATTCCATGATCCATGCACGTGTGCGTGTAAAAACCCGTACGCCATGGCGCCAAGCTACCGGCCGTATTCGTAGTTGGCATGCACATTTGCATGACGACTTGCGAAACCTGAAATCTGTTTTCAACGAAACGATTACGAGCCGAATCAAACTTTCGTTTCGCATTCGATTCGTAGCAAATGCGAAAGGTCCCTATTTGCATGCACATGCACCCAGTGCACTCGTGGGAACATGTGCATAACCCAGATCAACATTGCGTACGAACCCACACATGCGGGCACGAGCACGCGCGCACACACACACACACACATGCGCACACACACTCATACACCTGCTCAACGCTGAAGCGAGGATAGCGAACAAACTACGTTAGACATAGCAACTTGTGCTCGGATTACACCTTTCAACAGCTTGCACACACACGCATGCGTGCACGCGTATACACACACATGCGCGCGTACACAAACACACACCCGCGCGCGCGCGTACACACACACACGCGCACGCGCACACACACACACACACACACACACAAACGCATGTACTTGCGCATAGGAAAGGATTCAAAATATGCAGCCATAGACAATTACCCAATGCACACCTGAGTGGGCACATCTTATTTGTGACATCCCCATTTTTACAAGAGCAGGATTTAGAAGTTCGTCCCTGGTTCAGAACACAAGCTTCTGGGGAGCGTTTTCCTTACACCATCAGTACAGTACAGTGGTTGACACGAATCTCATTTCTACAGGAACAGTAGCCCATGTTCAGCAGCTCTGAGATGCGTCGTCCACTGAGCTCAGGATTCTCAAGGATCCACAGAAAGTTTCAAACGGCACTCGTGCGACTGGAGCTGCAAGTGGGTCCACTTACCAGCGAGTGGGCAGCCACTTCACGCTCCACAGGTAGTCCATACTAAAATACCAGTACTAGTATCACTACATTCGACATCGATGTCTTCACTGACTTCAGCCTGCTTTTCTCATCATTCTTCGTCAGAAATTTGTTCTTCGTGGCCACCGCGTACCGCTTCAGCAAAGTTTTCAGAAAAAAATCGAGCAGCATATGAACTGCCTTTGTTTTGCATTAGCCATGGCCAGTGATTCTTTCCAGCGTAGAAACTGCCACGGCTACAGAAACACTGCAACGAGTAGAACAAGTACATCCTGGAACAACTGCGAGCACAGAGAATCAAAAAACTTCTTTCTGAACAACAGCTTGTTTCCGCATGGAACACGATATTTTTTGAATTTCGCGGCAAAAAACAGATTCTCGAGGTGCCCTTTTTACACTGCGCTGCGCAACTGTTCGGAGCCTCCTTAAGCAAGATGTCCCTAGCCAAATGCACTCTGATCAGAGCCCTAATTTTGAAAGTCGCCTTCTGTCCTGCCTTTGTAAGTTGTGGGGGGGGGGGGGTGTAAGTCCCACCCGACCCCGTACCGGCCTCACTATGAATCCGTGCATACGAGTATGCCAGGGTGAGGGTATAAGAATGCTAGGCCAACATAGAGTTGGCTTCGCGGGCTCGGTGCTCACGAACTTTACAGTTCACCTCAGCCACATCCCCTAATCGGATATGGAAGGCGTCAGTGGCCCGCTTTGTATCCCAAGGGTGCACGGTGGGTGTCAAGTCGGGGTCCGCCTCACACTCACTGGGCACTCCTTTTGCTGGTTAGGGAGGCCCATCCCACTCTCATGTGAAGCATGGGTCAGATCGCAATCCCGTAGCATGCCGATTGCTCATTCATATATGTGGGTCCCTATAACAGGTCGGCCCCTATAACGGGTCGGCTCCCTATAGCAGGGCGGGTTTGACCAAAAAAGGAAGTCATGCAAGTGCACACATGACGTCTTGACTGGGTCCTCTGAGTGCAAGGGGTCCATGACCTTGTATAACGGAAATGGAAGAACCAGGAAATCCTCATTGACCCCATGACCCCGGGACTCAATTTCGCACTCACACGAAAACAGGCAACGGAAGGAACTATTGATCTTGTGAAAGAGATGAGGGATGGGTTATACCAAGACTACTATTACTATTAATGTATTATACTGAAGCGAAGATGGATATGGAAGAATAGGGGGAGAGCATGATGGAGGCGGAGGGCAGTGGAATTGCAGTACGGAAAACGAGCAGGGTAAAATCAAAGACAAAAGATCGAAATGCAGAAACGTTTTGGGCAGGCCTAGATGAGTGTATACTAGTTTGCAAGGCAAGAGCTCTGAACAAAGCGTGGGGAGCAGCGAGGCTAATGAAACAGCTGGTAGAAGATGGAAACTATGGAAGTCTTAATGAACAACGTATCAAGAAAATTATTGAGAGATTCTTCTACGAGGATGGCGCACTCTATTACAAGTCAAACGAGCTAAACGTTGCGCACAGGAAATGCATCTCAAGGGAGGAATTGATCAGCAAGATTGCAGAAGAACATAGTATTGATCATCGGGGACCCGAGACGATATACGAATCCTTACGGTGTTCGTATTATCCTATCATCCGAGAGACAGTCCTGCAACTGCTGCGCCAAACACTCGAATGTGAGCACTGTGCCCGACAGAATCCTTTGCCCAAGACAACGTTGGTACGAAGAACAATAAAGGCCACTTACCCGAACAGTCGCTGGCAAATGGACTTGAAAAAGCTCCCAGCGAGTCGAGGCTTCCAATACGTCTGTAATATTGTGGACTGTCACAGCCGATTCGCGATGGGTGGTGCCATCAGAGCCAAAACTGCGAAGGAAGTGTGCCGCGTGATCCTTTCTGCGATGTACTTGTACGGACCTCCAAGAATTCTCCAAACGGACAACGGGAAAGAATTCAACAATGGTGATTTGTCGGCACTCATGGACGAGATGCGGGCACAGAAGATCAACGGCCGACCGTATCACCCACAAAGTCAAGGCCGGGTAGAGCGCTTCAACCAGACACTGGCGCAATTCCTAAGACGTGACCTGCTGAAAGATATAAATTGGCCTGATCGTCTGCCGCTGTTTTACTACAGCTACAACAACCGCGTCCACAGAAGCCTACACGGGAAAACTCCGTACGAGATGTATTTCCAGAGGCCAAACTTTTCCTTGTTTCGCGAGCAGGAGCGCTGTAATCTGACCACAGACGAGAAGGACTTTCTCCAGTGTCAGGGAAACCTGAACTTGGCCGATGAAGCAAATGACGATGATGAGGTCGACGATGAGGACGTTCCTTTAGGCCAGCAGGAGCCACAGCCGACAGCACCAGAGACAGGAGCAGCATACCCGCTCGAGCTCGCATGGACGCCAGAGGAATTTCCATTTGAGCATGCTGTAGGAGACGTTGTATACTACAAGAAAGCTGTAAACCTAGGCGGAGCAGCCGGCACAGCGGCACTGATGACGCAGTGGCATAGGGGGAGCGTAGCTGCTTTGCGTCGAGAGAATTTCTTCCGCTTGTACGACATTGTCGACACCGACGAATCGCCAGTCGGCTCCTTTGCTGGTAGTCATGTCAGGAACGCACCAACCCAGGCATCCATCGAGGCACGAGACCGAGAAGGACGGTCAACTTCCACGGCTTCCAGAAACCAAACGAAGTAACTCCTTGTTTCGAAACAGTAGGTGTTTCATCTCCTTCCTAAATACACGCATGCGTGTTTACTCTGTACATGTGTAGATTCTGCACTGCACGTGGAGCGCAACGGCATTTATTGTTTAGATTACGGGAATATTCTGATATGCATTGCGTAACCATAACCTTTAGTTGATCCTCTGATCTTCAGTTCTCCTTTATTTAGTTGACCTTCTACATCTGCTTTTTTGCTTATTTGAAGCACAGAGTGTACATGACCCTGTGTACTCTTAGCTAGCTATTATTTTGTGTCTATAAGGCATACGATATGCACCTCTTGCACTGCACTCTGAGCTGTCCATATATGCGACTCAAACCGACCCGCTATAGGGAGAATACCCAAACCGACCCGTTATAGGAACAGGCCTGCTGCTGGGTTCATCATATATACCCTACGATCTCGTAGTTACATCCTCTCTTCTTGTGGTTTGGCTGTGCGCAAGTTCACTCTCTCTTAGTTCTGAGATTCCCCAACAACGCTTTCTTCAACATGGCACGTAGTCGTCGTCGCAACCAACCTCAACGTCGTCGTCAACGCATGGAAAATACGTAGAGCTCGTTGACAACCAAGAAAATGGTTGCACTTTTCTCATGAAGGACGGTATGCCATTGGCATAAACAACCCCCGGCGACACAAGGAATGCACTTGCGTGCCCCAGAGATCGATTCGTCCAAATAGTTGCTCGATCCAAGTGGAGAAAGGGATAACACGTTGCCCGTTATGCAAAACATTTGATATCACCTTAAGCAGCAAACTGTCATGATTTCGAAATGGCACCAAGCCACACTGCAACACAGCCCCATGGCAATCTGTCTTGGGAAGAGCTTGTCCATCGGTTGCGAGAGATGGCATCTACAAAGCGACAGCTGCGGCAACAAAATAGGCATTCACAACCCAAGTGGAAAGGTTGTGGGGTATAGCTCAGAAGCATAGAAGTCACAACAACTGACTTCAGGGCGATTGGCTCTATGACGGGCACCGTTGAGGTAGACTTCGATGCTACCCCATCCTACCCAAGCAGGTTCATTGACGCGATGAAGACGACCTCCATAGCACCAGGCGAACACTCCCCTACTATCAACAAGAGCTGGCCCATCCTCCTGATGGAGTGTACCATCGACGTGCCAAATTTCTTGCTGCGAGTTTTCATCTGCCAACTCCACAACAGGTCTTACTGGCGTCCGCCTTTCTATTAGTAAAGGACCCATGGTGAGAGACCACGGCCGGTCATCCAAGTCTACACCAAACGTATCGGCCATATCTATTTACTGAGAATAATGTAACAACTCCTCCACAAACGTTTCGACAACTGACGTCTTCTTCATCCTGATTTTTCCTCTTGGTGGTTTTGGACAAGAGTTGAAAAGTCCAAAAGGTCAACTGATGACCTTTGCGTTACTTGCTATGATTGGATTTTAGCGGTTGATGCCGGTATGCAGCTGGGAAGCGAATTCAACAGGAAGAAGATAAAGGTCTTGCTTTGCGGTTCACACCTTCACTTCCGTCTCATTAGCCTTTGGATAATCGGTGAAATAAAAGATTATTATTATTAATATTATTATCAGCAATGGCATTCACATGCCCGCGTCATGCATGCTTCTTCCAGCGTATGACTGCCTACGGGCAGGGTGCTGCGGAAAGCCGTTCACAAGCAAAAGAGCACTTCATAACCACATCCTTGGACACACTGGCCAGATGGGGTATAGGTGATTCCATCACCTGCTGGAAGACCAAGCAAAGGCACTCAATGCCACTGCCAATCAACGGAATAAAGAAGCTGACTAGGCCCTATCTCCTGAGCAGCAACCGGCACAACGCCGCAGAAATAATGCTGCCTACTAAACAACGCCAGCACAAGTTTCATGCAGAAACAACGTCCTCAGGCGACAGTGTACGAGTGAAAAGAAAAAGGTCGTACTCACAGAGAAGTCACCGTGAATAGGTGTGGAGATGGAGACGAAACGAACTCAGCCAACAAGTACTCCGAAATTTTGTTCCGTGGTTCCCAAGAAGCTTCGTCGACAGTGTAGCCCTGCCACAGCACACCGCACTCCGGCTTCCCCTTTGCAAACAAGAGGACCGTCTCGGCAGTCATCTCAGATACACTCTCTCCTTCTACCTCTGCACTGGCAGGCTGGCTCAAGGGGCGAGGGCTAGCCATCAAAGAAAAGATGAGTTTTGTGCTCAGCATTCGACATTCAGTAGAGATCATGAGCTTAATCCTTATGATACCAGCTGTGTTACATGGCACTATATGTCCACACTCCCCCCCCCCCCCGGCCAATTGTTTCTCTCCTAAATGGTTGCCCGTCTGTGCTGTCATCATCCATCTCGGACCAGACTCCACCTACCCCTTCCCCATTATCTAATATTAGGGAGGTTTCGCTCTACCTAGTGGTGTATGAAAATAACGTAAGAACTGCACATAGTTTTCAGATGTGAAAATCCGCTCAGTTCGCTTTTGCTCTACGTGATTTCTTCACACTCTGCATGCGCCCACCGCCTGCACCACAAACGTATACCGGCGACAACGTAACAACGTTAACAAAGTTACATTCTCCATTTACTGGTACGGTAGCTTTCCAAGTGCTGTGGACCTGTATTTCACGCAGCTTGAACTTGGCAATGGGTACATCTGGAAACATTGAAAAAATATTTCAAAAAGCCCAACGGAGGATCGAATGTAGGAAAGCACTTTCCTACACGGAAATCCGTAGAGAGATTTAGGTACGAACCCCGGCCCGTACGACGTACGGATTTTCAAACTTAAGGGGCCATCCTTAATTAATATCCATAATTTATCACGAAACGAATTTATTTCGTTTCAGCCCAAACCCTTCCTACACTCAGAACGTAAAACATGTTGATACATGCATTGACTTACAATAATAGTCGCATGTGGGTCACTCCTCCTACCTCCATGTACATCAATGTTTTCTGAAACGAAATTATTGGTCTACCCCTTCTCACCCCATTACGAAAATAATTCGTTTCCTGAAAAATCATCATCACCAAAGGACTGCAATCAAACGTCTGAGTATTTTAACACATCATGTTTTGTTTTAATCCATATCCCTTCCTTGCCGTGGTTGGCTAACACCCTCTCTCTTTGTATTGGCCGGTGTTCTCACTGTGCTATGAGATGCTGTAATAAATAAATAAATAAATAAATAAAATATCCCATTGTAATGATGGTGATGATTTGTGAAAAAGTACGACATTTATGAATGACCCCTAATTATGCAGAGCGAAACCTTCCTACTGTCCGCTCGAGTTGCCTCGTACTTCTTGGCACCTTCATTCGTTTCCTTGTTATTGAGTACCTCTGCCGTTTGGTGACTGCTAACTTTTAAAATCAAATCAAGCAAACAACAATGCATCGTTCTTTTGCAGTTGCTCACCTGTCTGTGGCGTACCTTTGGCAGTGTTTCCACTTCATACTCTCCAGAATCACACCTACTACACCTCTTACTTTCCCTGCTCACTGATTGCAGGTCAGGAGGACCAGCAAAGGGAAGAAGAATATCCAACGTCTCTGTCCTCTTTGTCATTTCCACAGTCAGCGACAAACTCGGTTTCAGTTCGAGCGCGAAACGCTTTGGGCATACGCGTGTCGACGATGTCGCGGATCGTCCGCGGCCTTGAAAACACCTTTGCCTAGGTGAAATGCCCAGGGGGTAACCAATCATAATTTTGCGAAAAGTCAAGAAATGCAGGTATCGCCTATAGGTGTCTTCAAGTCTCCTCTTAGCATTCATAATCGCACTGAACCCGCCGCTCCCACCCATGGCGTTCTGTGGGCTTCCGGGTTTGCTGTGGTCGGTTTGATCTACGTCTTGGAAAAACTAAGTGACTCGGATGGAGCATGCATGTAATTGGTTGACAGTAAATACCCAAACATTGAAAATTTTGATCGGGCACTGGGTATAATCGCTTTATGAGCACATCGTGGACTACGGCCGGGAATGACATGTTGCGCACTCGGAGTAAACCTCTTTCAATCTGTGGCCTTCCCGGCATGCACTATGCACAATATGCGTTAGGTGCATCTGTTTTCTTCTATTTTGATGGGGGAGGGGGGGGGGGGTATAATTGCCCAGCCACAACTGGGCATCGTGCATCATTCGGCAAGTAACGTTACAAGTACAGTGCTGGCAACTGAAATCCGACTCCCCGAGCGGTGCGCTCACATCGCAAAGACCCCCAACACGGGATGGTAAAACTACGAAACAGAGACCGCTAGAATGTGAACCCACCGCTCAGGGGGTCGGATTTCCGTTACCAGCACTGTACATACAGCTCACCGTTGAATACTGGCCGTCTATGCGCTGGACTGCATCAGCGTAGTCGGATAGCAAAAGCCGCTGAGTCCAACTACTGTTGCCCTCCGATATGTAGATATATGATCTTCACTGCGCAGGTCCTTCACCAGCATTCGTCCCCCGCTATAAAACATGAAACGAACAGCAGAAAGCAAAGTGTCATAGTACTAGAGCTCTATTGTTGCGGAGAGAGAGAGAGAGAGAGAGAGAGAGAGAGAGAGAGAGAGAGAGAGAGAGAGAGAGAGAGCTGTGAACACTGCACACTTCCCCCCCCCCCTCCCAAAAAATTGTATATTTCCAATTTCTATGAGGTGTGAGGATAACTCAGAAGTTGCGACGGACTCGGAGACACAGGACACAGGACTGGCGGCGGTCCTGCTCCAATGGAGGATTTCGATGTTGCCGCGCTGCTGGAAGCTTGGCATGTCCAGGGGTGTCTACACAGAGCAGATGGCCCAGCCAGGAACACTAGAGATGATGATGGTCTCACCACCACACAGTGGTGCTATCATAACAAGCTACATAAGGAGAATGGACAATGCACCAGCGGTGACAGGTGTACGCTGGACAGATAACCATCGTGCTCAAGAGTAGTACTGGCATAACCTTCGGCATCGGGAAGATGGACCTGATTTCATCTCCCAGGAGGAGGGGACAGATGGGTGGTGCCTCAACTGACCACCATCAAGACCAGGCAATATACCCCATGGAGCTGCAGAGCGCTAATGCAGCACCTAATGAGGTAGACTCATCAACAATGCGTGACGTACCCATCTGCGCGGTTTGCAAGGATGCCCTGGGCCCTCCTCATTCCAAGTTGGTGTGCGGGCATGAATTTCACTTTGATTGCATCAAGGAGTGGATCAGCTGCGCCCCAAGCCCTGCCTGTCCAGGCTGCCGCTATTCCATGTCTGCTGAGGACTTGGTTGAATTCTTGTAGCAATACATATGCACCAGTACTCATTCTTCTTGGTTGCCATTTCCCAGTGTTAACTGTTGTTCGTTTGTGTTGTTCATTGTTCGGAGTAAAGTAACATGTCAGGGTCGTTACATGGTGATCTTCGATTGTCAAGTGTTGAAGTTATGCGTCAAGCTCATGCACAACTTTTAGTAGCATTTGCCAACATGGAGTCACAGGAGGCAGGTGCGGTAGATTTTGTGTAACGTGTTTGTTTCGTCTTGGTCGCTGTGCACACGCGTCATTGGTTGGTGGTGTTGTGCGCATGCGCGAGACTGTGTGAGCTGGTCTTTGGTCTGTCGTCTTTGTCAAGATGTAGTGGTTTTCCAGGGTCCTGCTTGTTGCAATAAAAAGAGTGTAAACAGGCAGTCCAGTGGTGGTGGTTGAGCTGATGGAGAAGTAAGGTTACATTTACAACATTTGGTGCCCAACGTGGGACTCGAACCCACGACCCTGAGATTAAGAGTCTCATGCTCTACCGACGGAGCCACGACGTTGAGCAGCATGTCAATGTCATGATATCATTAGTTGTCCTTTTTTGTCTCCCCTTCTTAGAAAGAACATAAATAGTTGTTCCTGGTCCAGCAAGGAACCAACCGACACATCTTGTGCATTGTCAATAATTCTTCAATCAGTCTGAGGCTCTCCCAACTACAACTGGTTAACGTTTGCACAAGTTGCCTTTTTTGATGGTTGTGACCATGAAGAAATAGAAACGGAAGAAGCTGTCGCTTGCATAAGATGCGGTATAGTCTTGGGCTCTTTGCTTGTGTCAGAAATAACTGTAGCAGAGTACATAATGGCGGCTAGTACATGTATACCCTACACCGATGTGCCGCCATCGGAAGCAGTGGATAAAAGTAAGGGTCTTTTATCGAGATGTTAGGTTCACGATTCCAGATATGCACACACTCACACACTAATGACCTTGCAGATAAGAACCTCCTCGAGCCGACTGCTCTTGTGCCTGTGCGTGCCGAAATCGAACAGAGATGGTGGGGGTTTGCAAGGCCGTTACACCCATCATTTTGTGAAACTCGGCAACGCCTATACGCTGTGAACGACCAAATATCACCGGACCTGGCCAAATTTCCGATTTTGCTCAAAGTTGGCTCCTTTTATTCCTGTGTGGACCTTGTTCGCCCAGTATGATGGTTTGGCCCAGAGATCCTCCATTCCTTGGATCTTGGGCAAAATTAAAAAAATCGACTATATGCCCACTGAAACAAGGTACTGTACAGGCAGAACATTTCGTCGGTCAATAATTTCGTCCAACTCCAAAGAAAGGGAGTTCGTCCGGTTGTAAATTTCGTTCATGGATCATAAGAGTGTATTGAAAAGGTGGACAAATTGACATTAGTCCGGCATTTAATTTAGTCCAAAAGCTCCTTAAACGAAAAAGACGAAATTAAATTCCAGACGAATATTTCTGCATTTACAGTACAAGAACGAGGGCTCAATGCTGCTCCCAATAATGCAGCACAGCTAAACTTATTATGTTCGCACACCGATCCAAGTTGCCTACTTGTAATAATGTTTAGCCATCCAACTTTCAACTGGTGACTTGCTGAGTCCCTCAAAACGAATCGATCAATTCAGCCTGTCCAAGGCGGCCATTACGAATGCCATCTTCAAGGACCAGTACCAGCAAGGTCACGTCCTGAAATTAGGGGTAGACCACAACAACCATAGTCTGCTACGACATGTCTCCAAGCGCCAACAAGTGGTCTTGAATAAAATTATCCGCTAAAAATCACTTGGGGAAATATTCAAATTTCGAACTCACCAACGGCCATGCACTAGCCGAATCCAACCTCGTAGCAGGAAAGTACACACAGAACATCTCCACACGCCTTTTCGCTACACTACCAGCACTGAGACATCATGGGAATAACCCCTTCCCTCGCAGAAACTCGAATGAAGCCGCTATGAAGCGTCACTTGCTGAACAGCCCAACATGACAAGAAAGAAGACTGCTCCGCAACAAATCAGCAAGAACTACAACAGTAGCGCAAGATGGCTCAGAAAGTTCTCATGTACTGAACAGCCAGTGCACGCGAGAGTTTCACATGTGTGCCACGCTCCCATAAAAAAAATCACAATTTCTCTCAGGTTGCTATGAGCACACCTACTTCTGGTGCATGCGCTATTACATCATGCATTTTTCAGGTACCAGAACGACGCAGCTGTGCCCCAAGGAGAATTGCTTTTTTTTTATTCTTGATTTTCCGACAGGAATGCATACCTGAAATCCTCGAGTGCACAACTGCTGTCGTGATTTTCTACTTGTTCGACGAGACATCGATGCACATGCCATGAAACTCACATGCACTAGCTGCTCAGTACACGAGACTGGTCTGGGCCATCTTGCACTACTGTCGTAGTTCTTCCTGATGGTTGTTGTGGAGCTGTTCTTCTTTCTTGTCATGTTGGGCTGTTGTTCAGCAAGTGACGCATCGTAGCAGCTTCATTCGAGTTTTTGCGAGGGCAGGGATACTCCCATGATGTCTCAGTGCTGGTAGCGTAGCGAAGAGGCATGTGGAGGCGCTCCATGTGTGCTTTCGGCTAGGGCATGGCCGTTGGTGAGTTCGAAATTTGAATATTTCCCCAAATGCTTTTTAGTGGATACCGTAATTCCGCGCATATAAGCCCACCTCCGCTTATAAGCCCACCTCCGCATATACGCCCACCTCCGCTTATAAGCCCATGGGCTAATAAACAGACACAAATGCAACTCACGTGTCAAGTAGAATTTTTCACAATAATGGACTCTTCCTACCGTGGTACAGCAGGTCAGTGCAGTTTGCCAGTCGAGTATGGTAGACCCACTTTGAGCACGGACTTGAACTTTTTCGTGAACCTTCAAAATTCGAATATTGGCCCATGGGCTAAAAAGCGGACATGTTTTACTGGATATTTTATCCCCAAACTGCATCATTGCACATTATAAGCGTATGGGCTTATATGCGCGGAATTACGGTAACTTTCTTCAAGACCACTTTGTTGGCGCTTGGGGACATGTTGTAGCAGACTATGGTGGTCGTCCACCCCCAATTTCAGGACGTAACCTCGCTGCTACTGGCTCTTGAGGATGGCATTCGTAGTGGCCGCCATTGGATAAGTTGAATTGGTTGATTCGTTCGAGGGACTCAGCAAGTCGATAGTCGAAAGTAGGATGGCTAAACATTACTAGGCAACTTTGATCGTTGTGCGAATATAGTTGGTGGGGCTGCGCAGTGCTGTTGTGAGCAGCGGTGGCCCATCGTTCTTGTACCTTGCTTGAAGCATTATTTCACAGCGAATATTTGTCGATTTTTTGGATTTTGGGCCATATCGAAGGAACACAGCATTCCTGGACCAAAGTGCCATAGCGGGTGAGTGAGGTCCACCGAGGGATAAAAAGAGCCAATGTTGAGCGAAATCGGAAATTTGGCCTTGTCCGGTGACATCTGGTAGTTACCGGCATTAGACATGGTTAGCATTTTACCGTTCACGCTAAATCCAACGGTACTCGTATCCAACACCCAAAGTACCGTCGGTTTGGTATCTCTTCGAACTAGAAACAGGGATCGATTTATCCGGGTTCGCATTGCAGTTTGCGAATCAAAATTCACTGGCTGCGATTCGCTTTTCGTTTTTTATCGCCCAAAACTGCGATGCGCTGGCCGTGCATACCGGTACGCGGTATGTACAAAGACCATTCTGTACTGATTGTGTGCAGTTTACATGCGACTGTAGTACACGGGTTGCGGATATCCGGATCGCGCTCTGTATGATTTTGGACACTGCACTAGCACTGGTGGTACAAGACTGCAGTCGTTTGGAGTTTTGTACACGGCGGCGACTTTCCCTGAAGTTCTCCTTTCTTCTTTCACTGTCAAGCTCAATTCAGTTTGTTTCTGTGCGACAAGACACAGTTGAAGTAGATGGTTCTTAGTCTCATGTAGCCAACATGTCAGTGAATCTGATCACTGTCCAGAAGTGAGAAAGAGAACTGGAAGCGCCAGGAGCGTCGATTCATTTCAATGAAGAAAAGGAGAAAAGCGGAAACTCTGTGTGCTTTCCACGAAGTGTCACGCTCGTTTGAGCGCTTTCCTGAGCTTTCTTTGTCGAAGGAATCAGTGGAACTGCCCTGTTGAAGGACATTGTGTTGTGAAGAACTTGAAGTCGGATGGACGCTGAACATGTAACGAGCCCAAGCGAAAACCCTAACGTAAATATTCGGGTCAACCGTTCGCTTGGAAAAGCAAAATTAATAGCAACTGTTGTTGTTGTTGTTGATTTTTATTTTGCTTCGCAAGGCCAAACGGGCAATGGTGCCCAATTCTATGGAAGCGAATTTCAAAAGGGAGAGAGCTACGGGGAGAGAGAGAGAGAGAGAGAGAGAGAGAGAGAGAGAGAGAACTGCAGCTTTTGTCCTCTTCTGTGCAAAATCCTGCTATTGTACAGATATACAAGTCATGTAAACTTTTGATGAAGGAAAACTGCTAATCAATACTGGGAGTTGCTAGTCAATTATAAAGCTGTGTGTAGCAGTGATTGCTATGCAAAAGAATCAAAGTAAATCGATCCCTGTAGAAAGCTCTGTTTAGCGGGAGAACGAAACGGTAAGATTCCAACTAGGGTTGCGTCACGAGTCGATCGTTGTGTCAGGAACCAAAATGCTAACCATGTCTTGCAAACACACAAAAAACGGTAGGGTCTACGGACCGATGGTCGAAGATAGCGTGAACGGTACACTGCTAACCATGTCTATTGACTCTAATGTCTGGTTCACAGTAGGCCGATTTTCCGGCCGATACGGACTTGTACGAAAAATCCTCAAGATCGGGGCGAAAATTGCCCGTTGTGGACGGTTTTGTCGTACAGGTTTCTAACAGATCTGCGGCGATTTTCTCGTCGCACTAGTTTTCGGCCAAGTATCAACTGGTCGATATTTAGCCGAAAAGCCAGCCGGTTTTTAGTGCTTGCACGTGATGGAGCGGGCATCGGGCCAATCATTGTAGGCTTTTCACCATGACAGCGGAGAGCGTCGGTGCAGACTGTGAACTGGCTGCACTGCACTGGATCGCTACTACAGTCCATTCAGAAAAGGTTGATATCCTAGCTTTTGGCCATAAACAGGTCAAATTTTGAGTTTTCGTCTCCTTTTTTTGGCAATCCCCCATGGAATGCTCTTCCAATTGTGTTTTTGAAGCCTATTTCTCCCAAAAGCAAGCCATAACAAGAATAGGATTTCGGCCAGGTTTTGCCCCCAAAGCACTGAATTGGGTAAAAACCATGAAAATCCCGGCCGTTCACTCCACTTGCATAACAGTACATTTGCGGTTCGAATCCCAGTTGAGGTGCCTTTTTAGACCCTTTTTCAAGTTTCGAATCGCGCGGCGCTGCAGTGTACCACAAAATCGCCAAAACACAGGGGCTCTCCAGAGCCAGCGCTCAACCTTTTCTGAATGGACTGTAGACGCTAGCCTTTTCACGCATTTCGCCTTGTAGCTCGTGTAAAAACTATCTCATTTCCGCTGTCTAGCGTCTACTGCGGTCTAGCGCGGCTGTGTGCTACGTGTAAGTGTGTAACAGACAAGCATACAACTATAGTACAAGCGAAATTGGCGACCGTTGTGTGTGAACAGCTAGTCCGACTCATCCGACACAGTCGGTCGATTTCTTGTCGGAGTCGGTGTGGGAGTATCGGCCGGAAAATCGGGCAAGTTTGGACCAGGCATTAGAACACAACACAACAACTCAACCACATGATTCGCTACCCTGTTATTGAGCACTCCTGCTCGTTTGGACTCGCGAATCCAAATAAAATCAATCAATTAAAGGGGAAGTTAAGGCAAAAATTAAAATTTCACCAGTTGTAGTCTTCGGGGTGCTGAGTCGAATGGTCTTGGTCCGAGAAAGCTGAGACGCTCCGTTCCTACTTGAATCCCAATCGAACTCGCGCACTTCCACCGAAACTGGGTGACTGCGCCCTACTAGATGGGGATTTGTATGCAAAATGTCACTAAAAGCGCCATTTCGTTCTTATAAAAGCACGGATGACCGCGATTGGCCCATATGTTGTAGTCCTTTGGACGCTGAGTCGACTGGTTTTGGTCCGAAAAGGCTGCGATGCAGCGTTCCTCCTTTATTCCCAATCGAACATGGTTGAAGAAGCGGTCACGTGCTCCTGGGTGCCAAAATCACCTGGTCACCACGCCAGCAGGCGACAACTTTCACACCAAGGTTCAACTCGAGTGACAGGACTGCACCCAAAAAAGGTCAAAACAGGCCGTAAGTTGTACCCTGCAGGCACGGTGACCAGGTGACTGGTGTACGCAGGAGCACGTGACCGCTTGTTCAACCATGTTCGATTGGGAATTAGGGGCGAACGCTGCATCGCAGCCTTTTCGGACCAAAACCAGTCGACTCAGCGTCCAAAAGACTACAACATATGGGCCAATCGCGGTCATCCGTGCTTTTATAAGAACGAAATGGCGCTTTTAGTGACATTTTGCATACAAATCCCCATCTCGTAGGGCGCAGTCACCCAGTTTCGGTGGAAGTGCGCGAGTTCGATTGGGATTCAAGTAGGAAGGGAGCGTCTCTGCTTTCCCGAACCAAGACCATTCGACTCAGCACCCCGAAGACTACAACTGGTGAAATTTTAATTTTTGCCTTAACTTCCCCTTTAACACTAGGCGTAGACCTACCTTTGCCGCACCGCGAGCGCATATGTGCAGGCGTTGGCCAAAACGCTTCCTGCTTTGTCATGGCGTGACTCTCCACTTGTGACACATCGCCGTACTCCCTTCACTAGCCCATTTCGTCCGTCACGACGAATATCGCGGTGTCTAGTCACTGAATGGAAAACCGTAACTGCCAACACTCATCTCAAAGTTGAAACAGTCAGTGTCCTGCATTTGTAGTTCATAAGCCGCTGAGCGCTCGAGCACGGAACCATCTTTCAACTTTACTTCATTGGAAAAGAACAGAGAAGGTCCAAGTCCTTTCTCTTCGACCTGGCCTGATCGTTGTTCGATTTATCTTTGGACAAAAGGCCCGAAGACGAGGCACTGCATGCAGCTGGCACTGGCGCCATAGCATATGCATAGTCATTGTAGCTAGCTACGCGCTGTCGTGTCCATTTTCTGACGAGTCCATGCCCTGACCCCTGACCCCTGACCCCGGGTCATACTCATAGTTAAGTTGTACTCTTGCTTTTACGGCGAACTGCAACCATGGTAACGCCCCCCCCCGTCCCCGCCCCCTTGTAGGCCCTGCTTGCTGCCCCGTGATGTGATTGTGCTGTACATGTACATGTACATGTACTAGTAGTAGTAGTATGAATGCCGCAGACATCAGTCACATCGCCACGGCTTGGTTTTGTGTGTTTCCAATGATGTCTGCGGCATTCATACTTTTCATAGCTATTATTAAACTTTTATCTCCACGTAGATTATTAGTAGTAGTAGTAGTATTTATTATTTTGTTAGGGAAATTCCTACAGACGTTGCCATCTTTTTACAGGGAACCCTAAGTGCTCTTTGCAGAGCGAAATGAAAGCGGATGGTTGGTCAGCTTGGCGACACAACATAGGCAGAGAATTCCACCGATCAGCGCCAAGAAAAGAAACAGAGAACATGCCATACCGTATTATCTCTAATATAAGCACGGTCCTCTATTTTTTCAATGCACCTCCGCCCCGTGCTATTAATGGAGACGTTCCTTTATTGGAGACTGTTCCATTATTATTTCAACCTCATTTCAGAGGCATGTTGCCATGCCAAATTCATGTATGACACACACATTTCAGGGTTTTTCGCCGGTACAGAAAATGAATTTACACAGTGTGCTTATAATGGAGACTGAGCATTTTATTTTTTGAATGCCGCCCCAAGGTGTTCTATTATTGGAGATTGTGCTTATATTAGAGAAAATACGATATCTAGTTTTAGCAGCAGGCAAAGAAATAGAGGAGAAGGACTGTCCTTTAGTGCGCCTATCTGTACAAGTAGCAGCTGATTGTAGAGTGAACATAGAGGAAAGCAGGGGACGTGTCAGCTTGTTGACACATCGGAACAGAAAGACAAAAAGTCGCAAGTTGAGGCGAGACTCCAGTGAGCATAATTTAGCATGCTGCAAAAGGAAAGCAGTTGGGGTGCGCCTAGAAAGGCCAAAGACCTTCTTCATACACCAGTGTGACTTAGTGTAACAAGGCGAGAATACAGATGTGCAGTTAAACAGTGCACATACGAATTACTGGCATACTCAATGGTGGATTGTATTAGGGATAAGTAAAAGATGCGTCTTGTGGCATGATCTACTGAGCGGCGGCATCGTCGGAACGCTCCTATTTTCTTATAAACAGACGTGCAAACATGGTCAACCTGGTCTTCAAACGTAAGGTGCTCATCAATAATCAGACCGAGATACCGAGTAGTTGGGGAAGGTGGAATATCGACATCACCGCATGCAATGGCCAGATCTGGGGCGAGGGAAAGAGGCTTCCTCCGGAGCACCATGAATTTCGTTTTCACGGGATTCAAGATCAGGCCAATACTTTCCAGGTACATGTATGTCTGTAGCAGGTTCAAGTCGCTTGTTAGTTTGTGCTGAAGCTGCATGGTCAATTGACTTAGATGCGAGATAGAAGGCTATGTCATCAGCGTATTGCTGAGACTGTGCGTGCTCGAGCAGTCCAGGAACATGTTTCACATTCAGTGAGAATAGCAGAGGCCCCAACACTGACCCTTGCGGGACACCACGCGTGCATTCTGTGGCTTCTCCTTGCCTTCTGCCCATTCACACGGACTGACGTCTATCTTGGAGATAGCTTGCGAACCATTCCAATGCCACACCACCAATGCCAATCGACCGCAACTCATTAAGAAGGAGTTGATGGCGCACCCTATCGAACGCTTTGCTCATATCGACAAAGACCACACCAACGCACTCTTGCTTGTCGATACTTGTCATCCAGCGGTCAACCGCAAGAGCAAGAGCATCCTTACAGGAGTGCCCTCGCCGGTAAGCAAATTGCTCATCGGGGAGGATATGAAGCTCAGCATGATCTTGAATGTAACGAACCAGTTGAAGATGTACTATTTTCTCCAGCAGCTTCGAAACAACTGGAAGAAGTGACACGGGCCGATAGTTCGATGGGTCACATTTGTTTCCTGACTTGAAGACAGGGCACACCGTTGCCAATTTGTACACATCTGGGACAATTCCATTGCGCACTGTGTCTGTGTCTGTAGTCTAGACAGCCTGTTGTGTACAAGTGTGTGTGTGTGTGTGTGTGTGTGTGTGTGTGTGTGTGTGTGTGTGTGTGTGTGTGTGTGTGTGTAGTGAGTGAAATGTGAAGGAGGCTATGCCACAATATTGCAATGTTCGGCGGCTATATCACGTGACCACTTATTTAACCCTTTAAGAGCCGCCCCATACTTGAATGCGTCGTAAACGACGCATTCAAATGCAAATTAACACAACTCGGCTGCTCACGCAATCAGCAAATCACACACATGATCACTTGGCCACGTGATACTACAATGCAGCATGCTGCTAGGCACTGATGCGACCCCTCCAATTCTCCTGTGGATAAGCCAAAGATATATGCAGTGTCCATTTAGCCCTGAACAGGCTGAGGTATTGCCAGTTCTGCGCTGTATGGTGGAGCAAAAGGTGCCCACCCACCCCCCCCCCCCCCCCCCCCACACCACCACCAGACATTCTGATCCGCACATGTCATGGGCGCCAGAGAGTCCAATGGCTACTGGTGAAAATGGAGTCACAGCGCACACCTTAAATTAGCATGCACTGGATGCATGCTTGCAGTAGATGCTTGTTATCACCTAGCAAGCCAGGCATGATCATAGACTATGCACGCAAGTCACAGTCCACGAAGGACAACAATAGACGCCGTTGGCAGATTGTACATATAATTTCCAATTAAAAAGAATCCTAGCCTAATACCAGAATGCAAGTATGGAGTGGACTAGTGCATGGGCCAAGGGGTGGCAACAGGAAGATGCTAAAGTTATATTATTATAATCATGAATATGTATGGGTGGTCACACCACCACTATCGCCAAAACCGGTAACACCATGTCCGGCAACATCACCACCACTCAACAGCGGCGGCTGCTGCTTAGATGCCTGCCGCATGCATGCTGGGGTTCGTGTACATCAGCTGATTGCCAGGAGGGTTCATGAACTGTGTGCCGTTGGCTAAGAGGCCGACGGTCGAATTATGGAGCGCCGTACTGGACAAGAAACCCGGGGAAAGGGGCGGCAAGCCAACGTGCTGATTGACCTGGAAATGTTCTGGCGTCGCGGTGAGCAGTGAACCGTTCGGCAGCTGCGACAGAAGCTTGGCTGTCGGGACCAGTGTGAACCCTTCCTGGGAATGCATCGGCAAATTCACGTTCGTGCCGCCATCGCCACTGCTGAACTGACTTATCGCGTGCTTGTTGTCGTACAACTGGCCTGAGAGCAGATTGGTGGTCGGCATCATCGAAGGTATGACCACTCCACTTGGCGTCTGCAATTCCTTCTCCGACATATATGTAGTGACGCTAGAAAGGACCTGCGTAGGCATCACTTGAGGCCTCGGCATGTTTGCATTTCTGATCACAACCTCACTCTGCTTAGTGCCACGGTACTGGCACTTCAATGCTGCTGGTGCCAGTGGGTGTGGCAAGTCGCTGGACGATGGCGGCAGGGAAGAAAACTGAGATACCGGAGGCAGAGCGGTATCGTCATCTCCGTCGCAACTCTGCAACCAGGGAGAGAGACACATGGCAAGTACAGCGCACGCATGCACACACACACACACACACACACGCGCGCACGCACACACACACACCCACACACACACACACACACACACATGTACACACAGGCAACACACACGCATGCACACACACACACACACAAACACGCACACACACACATACAGAAACTTGAAAATGCACCGTTGAATAGAACCTCTGATTTCGAATCAAGACTGGTCAGACTACAGAGGGTCAACCGATGTGGATATAAACTTCAACAACAGGTGTGTCTGTATGGTCACGGTTAGCTCCGCGAACATTTCAGTTTCTATCACACAAAAAGCTGGTTCTTAAGAATTGTTAAAATGTAAAGTCTCGACTATTGAACATTGGCTGACGCACAGCACTCAGTTCCGCTTGAATGCAAGTACATTCAACAACTCGGCTCGGGGAAATTCTCGCTTAACGCAAGGACAAAAAGAATACTTGCTGGGATGCATTGAGCTGTGATAGTGTGCAACATTGTATACCCACACACACACACACACACATCTTCAAATTACCGTATTTTCAGGAGTATAGGCCGCACTTTGAACACTCAGAATTCATCCCATAAAACGGGAGTACGGCTTATACTTTGATGATCAAATCAACGGAGATAAATAGGGTAGATTTAGTGGCAAAATATGGGTTCAGCTTACCCTCCAGTACGACTTATACTCGGTAAATACATTAAAGGACTTACACAAGCGTAGCACCGTTTACGGCTTGGTGGGCTCCCCGTCAGCTCCTGCTTGATCTGATGCCGCTTCCACTGGTCGACGTCGTCGGTCGCGCTCTTGTCACCGTCGCCATCACTACCGTCGGCGTTGTCCGTGGCGCTGAGCGGTGACTGTACGCACTGACGCAGCAGCTCCTTGCCGCTGGGAATCTGCAGCAGGCAGCGCAGCTTCGGTGTGCCGTACGAGAACATCATTCCTTCGCGCACCACCACCACCAGTACCTCCGCCCCAGTCAGCTTGCCAAGCTCGTATCCCTGAAGAGCACAATGTAGGTGGCGGCAAGAAGAACAGAAACACAGTAAAATGCCAGATTATACAGCAGCATGGTTACAGCTTCACTGAACACTGGATACTGAACACAGAATTGGTCGGAAACCCGAAAACAAGTGACCTTTCCAACCAGCCGCGGATCAAGCAGTCCTTGATGTTCAAGGCGAGCGCACATCTACCATTTCCCTGAATTCACAATTTCTTCCCAGTTTTCCTCCCGGTAGTTTTGCCAGAGTGACAGTTCTTGGTTCCGTTCAGTTGTTTATCACTGAGGTTTTCATAACTTCAATTCCACTCCAGGTAGGTTGAGCCTGGTTAAAGTTTGTGCATTCTCGTCCCCTCCGAGCCAATTCAGCCTATACACTACACTAACACCCGAACATTCTATAATAGGCATGCAGGTTGGCATGGGCAATGGTGGCATATCGTAGAGCGTTTGATCATAAATTCTCCATACACCATGCAGGTACAGGCCCAAACGATCGCTTGCAGCCAGGAGTGGTGGAAATTCACCGTACAGTGCATAGACCGTCAATATTCGCATCGGAATTCAGGTCCTGGGACCTCTACCGTCGGCGCGGTGAGCACAAATCACGAGCCTTTGAGTTCATTGAGAGGATTCTACAGAGAAGGTGATGCACATATCACGAAGGATAAAAACTCGGGTATTGTGTAAGTGGAACACTTCACTAGTAGATTTACTTTATACACGGGAAACAACGCGGCCATAGCAAAAGATCAGTGATAAACGATTACCAGAAATCGCTGTGGCGGCACATGAGCTTATTATTTCGCTATCCGCAGCACGAGGTACCTTACCTTTTTCATTAGCCCCGATTTCCGTTTGCGAAAAGCGCTGGTCCTCTTTTGTCTCTGTTGGATATACTCGATGCCAACCTTCTTCCTATCGCCAGCTGTTTCCGACTGACATCCGCCAGGACGACAATGGCGATCATCTGGTAAGTCGGGCTCCGAGCAGGGCTCATCCTCGGGCGAAGAGTCGTCCTCGTCATCATCACCGACATCAACACTGGACAAGTCGCGCTGAGAGCTTGTGGGAGGAACACCAGCAGTGGTAAGGGTAGCGCGAAGGGGGATAGGGCAAAAGGTAGATTCGTCCCCCGAACCTTCTGAATCGCATTCAGATAGCATGGCTTGGATTGCCAGTTCCTCTTTCAGATCTCGTCGTCAATGTTGTAGAAGAACCGCGCGGCTTTCTTTGGAGCGTAACAGCAACAGAAGGTCTCTGTAAAGATCAAAACCATTGGACGGCACCTTTTTCTTCACCCCAGATCCAGATGAGGCGTCGCTCAACCTGTTTCACTCGACCTCGACCAGCTAAAGTCCACGGACCATCTATACTTGTGATTTGTACGAACTGTGTCTTTGGAAATCGCGACGTAGATTTCGACAGGATTTACATGTATCGTTGAACTTTGAAGTCCGCTACCCACCGATTATCATGCACACCGCATAATCATGATAATGCACATAACTAAACTCCGATCCTGCCGTCCTAGATCCTGCGCAGCTGCGGTATTGGTAAAACGCAAGTAACTTGACACGTGATTTTTTCCTCCAGGCCATGGTATTCCGTATATGGCCGGGTTCTCGCCGCGCCGCACGTATAATAATCTTCTCCACTCAAACAAGCTCCTCGATCCTCCACTCCAGATCCTCCAGATCCTCATCAATCAGCAGCTGCTCTACACTATACTACACTCTCCCTCTGTACTCATACAGTACCTACATAGATCATGTCATGTGTACGTGTCACATCATGTCTAAGGGCGGCCACATCATGCGAATTATTTTGTCCAAAATTGAAATTCCAAAAGCGAAAAAAACGTTCAAAATGTTTTAAGAAAATTTTAATTCAAAAAAAAACCAAAATGCAGAAAAAATTCGATCCGCTGCCATGGTTTTTACAGGACTCGTACCCAACATTTCCAAAATATGAAAAAATAATAAAAATAAAACCACAAACTGCTTATCCTGATCATGTGTGTCTGTACTGCTGTGTGCTTCCAAATTCGGGGATGGGTGTCAAAAGGTCAAAGGTCAAAGGTGTGTGTATTTGAAAGTACTGTTTTCGCATGTCAAACTTGGTAATAATATTGAGCAGCACATGTTCTCTCCAGATGTGACAGCACTGTCATTCTCCAAAAACGGCCAAAATTCAAAGTGCGAAAATCCAACCAAAGTTCAGAAATAATTGAAAACATTTTGTGGAAAAGCCTAATCATGTCACGTCGTCGCGTCGACGTCAGCATGCCCGATTGACGTCAATTTTGAGAAGGTCGCTGTGTTTGGGAGCCGGGTGGTCGACGGTCTGACCTTTCGACATTTGACCGCTAGTCTCAAAGCTAAAGGAGTCGTACCCAAACTAAACCTGGTCCAAAGCCAGGCAAAGGACTTGTCAACCTCAGCTTCAGGCTCGGCGTGCACGCGTGGTTTATGCAAAGCTGAGGTTTCTTATCTCGTCATGGTTTCGCAGGCGTCTTCGTCGACACCAGCATCGTCATCTACCTACAACTAATTACTTCTTGTTACGCAAGCTCTAGTAGCATGGGACATCCGCCTCCAAACCTCCCTGCTACACTCACCCTCCTGGTTTCTGATATCTCGAACGTGTATTTAACGATCTCGATCACCCTGCCATTCGGATCCCGCTTGTTTTTCATGATCCATTGTTCACTGCCTCCCCTGGTTAATTTCCATCTACAAGTAGCTGTTTCTGGCTAGTATCCGTTCTATCACACAGTCATATCAATATTCCTTATTGGCGTCTCGCCATCTTGGACAACATGAAAACTCCAGTTACTAAAAATCAGCTCATGCCATGACATTGCACAACACTGACCGACGGGACTGACGTTCTACAACTAACTGGCTTGGTCAGTGTCGTGCAATGGAAACGAATAAGCTGATTGTCGGATGGAGCCAAGGATGATTTTATAGGAAAGAAAAAGGACAAATGAACTATAACTTGGTATAAGTTACGGTAATTATAATGACTAACACCACCAGTTACTTAACAATCAGCTTATGCGATAACATTGCACGACACTGACCCAACGATATAATAATAGTGCCCTCTACTTCTTGTAGTTTGAGCACTCTGGCGCTAGAGCGACGAGCTATCTTAATGTCTGTGGTGCCTCCTTTGCACCATGGCTGGTAGCTCGGCCTATTTAGCTCGTAGCTGTACTAATGAGGCCGTTATGGCCGAAACAGCTTGCTGTCTACAGCATTGAGAGAGAGAGAGAGAGAGAGAGAGAGAGAGAGAGAGAGAGAGAGAGAGAGAGAGAGAGAGAGAGAGAGAAAGAGAGAGAGAGAGAGAGAGAGAGAGAGAGAGAGAGAGATAGAGAGAGAGAGAGAGAGAGAGAGAGAGAGAGAGAGAGAGAGAGAGAGAGAGAGAGAGAGAGAGAGAGAGAGAGAGAGAGAGAGAGGGAGAGAGAGAGAGAGAGAGAGAGAGAGAGAGAGAGAGAGAAAGAGAGAGAGAGAAAGAGAGAGAGAGAGAGAGAGAAAGAGAGAGAGAGAGATAGAGAGAGAGAGAGAAAATAACGCAAGTTCAGCCAAGGCAGCACCTCGCACTCCGTCCCGGACGTTCCACATTAGGAAAAGAATGCACAATGACCTACACACTATGAGAAGAACTCGGCTACCAGCCGAGTCTCACGCGAACCGTGAAATTTATGAGAAGAAGGGGGGAAAGGAGACTAAATGAAAAAAATATACGTAAATTCTACTCGGTAGAAAATTAAATCATTAGCAGCTCTGCGACTGTAACAATGAGTTAACTTCTTCTCTATGAGAAGAACTCGGCTACCAGCCGAGTCTCACGCGAAACGTGAAATTTATTTATATTTTTAATGAGAAGAAGGGGGAAAGGAGACTAAAAGAAAAAAATATACATAAATTCTACTTGGTAGAAAATTAAATCATTAGCAGTTCTGCGACTGTAATAATGAGTTAACTTCTTCTTAGAACAGGATGCTGAGGAGAGCGGCAATTACTGTATAAGATACCAGGGAGGATGGGGCCGACTGGTGGATGGCCGCCGAGTTCCCCAAATTGCCCAGGGGTCCCGACAAGTAAAGGGATCTGTTACCGCTCGGGTTGGCCGCCATGCTGCGCTTCTGTCCCCGGTCCGTTTCGCAGCCTGTTGTGTAGCAGCCACGGCAGCTGAGGATCTTGGCATCGCCGGGCAAGGTCTTGTCCTTGTAGCCAGACTGCTCCTTGATCTGCTGCAGTGTGGGGCACTTGGTACGATTCACCGGAGGCCCCAAATACTCAGCAGTCATACTGGCATTGCAGTAACACGAGCCGGGAACCAGGCGGCAATGTTCCGTATCGTTGAGCACCTTCGGACAGTAGGTTCCGTTCTCTTCTCCTACGTCGGGAAAGTAGCGTGCCAACAGGCATGCGACGTCTGGCGAGTTCCTCTTCAACAGGGCGCGGCTGGTGGTTCTCTGGCCGGCTGCGTTGTGGTAGAGGAAGTCACCTTTAGGCGCCCCCAGCCAGACGGCGATAGCATTGTTAAAGTAGTCGTACGCTAATACACCTGCCCACTCACCATCGTTCTCGGACAGCGCACTCTCAATGCGCTGTTGGTCCTGTCCGGCCGGTCTGTTTCCTGCCGTGTAGTTTGACTTCACACCATGCTCTCCCTTCTCTCCCAGGTTGTACCACAGGTAGAGGCCGCTCGCCGTGTCACGCACAGACAAACACACAATGGCGATGTACGCGTCGGGATCTAGCTCCCGGATTGCTATTTGATGAATTGTACGGGAAAACTGAGTGATAGCGGAGGAAGGTTGAGGGCGCGCGAGACAGTCGGGGGCGCCCGTGTAAATAGCAGATTCCTCAACGCCGACGGAGGGATTTTCTCTCCATGCAGCTCCCACTGTCATAAATGGGGAGCCTTCAGGGTGTCCTGACCAATCGTTGCTTTTCGATGTTTCGTTGAAGTGCTGGCAGGAGTTGATGAGCACGCGGATGTACGCTTTGCTCAAATAGTCGGCCAGGTTCGGCATGACACGGGAAGACCATTTCAGTAGAAAAGAAATTTGCTCTCTGACCTGAGCGAAAGTCTCATTCCTTGCAGAGTCTGACAGGATCGCAATCCCGCTAGCGTTACTAGCTGTGCCGCTCTGAACGTTCGAGTACTGGCGGTAGAAAGCTGGCGGCTTGAAGCAGCCCATGGTAGATCTTCCCGATGCGCAGCTTGCATTGTTGAATCTCGCCAGGACACCAGGGTCTTGAGGATCGACGATGGAGTTGCCCGTTTCCAGCAGCCGAATGGGCCCAATGCGGATGGGGCAGCAAGTGTCATTCAAATTCGCCACCTCCCAGGCGGGCTTCAAGGGATAGGCCACATCGCAATAATCATCAAACATCTCTTCAGATTCCAATGGTGCCTTGCAGTTGGTCTGGGCGAAAACCAAACAAGGTCCCGCCGCTACGAAAAAGAGCAACTGAAGAGCCCTCATCCTGAACCCACACTGATTCACTATCCAGCGCTGGAATGGCAAAAGCGGACACCTCAGTGAATGTCCAATGGCGTTGTTCCTTGACAAGGTTGTGACACGCAAACTGTCGTTTAGCCTCTCCGAACCATACAACTCTGTGAGCCTGGTGAACAGGAAGGACTTTACGGCAAAGGAAGAAGGATGCATTAACCCATGAGTACGCGTATACGAGGGGTATACCGCCGAATATTTTCACGAGTGCGTTAGCACGAGGGAAAATAGAAGGGACATGGTGTACACCGAGTACGAATGGTATAATCCATTTATCCCTTGTACTGTCACAAATAGAGCATGACCAGCACTAAAATCTCCCCTATTGGCGTGACCCGGGGAATATTCGTGACCCCAGCGGGGTATATTATTGACCCTTTGACCCCAGCGGGGTATATCATTGACTCCGGCGGGGTATATCGCTCTTTATACCATGGTACGGTACGGAGGGCCTGTTTTCAGCCAATCAGCGCTCGTCTAGCCATGGTTATATTGGCCAGTATAAATCCCGCGCGGGATTTATATCGAATATAAATCCCGGTGCACGGGACGTAGACCCGGGTGCTCGAATGAGACACAGGGTACCAAAACAGAAACACCCTGAAATTGTACCTAAACTTGTTCCGATTTCGTTTAGTTTTCACAAATACCATCAACATACGGCCTGCTAACGGTATGCCAAATTTCAGCGCTGCCCGGTAAACACTTTTTGAAATACTCGCGACCCACTTTTTGATGGGTCCTTGATTCGAGGATATGGGTCTCCTGTACGGTGCTGCCAAAGACCTGCTGAATCTGCGGCTCCACTGACCATCTTGCTCTCAAAAATGAAGTAGTAAGTTACTACTCCCTGCCCTCAACTGCCACACCAAGCGTAGACGATGGCAGACCCGTGTGCATGAATCGGAGACGATCTGACGAGTTCGCTGTTTCTGATTCGAGCACCCAATTTTCAAATAAAAAATCCGAAGGAAATACGACAATTTTACTGCGTACTGTAGCTTGTGTTGTAGCGCACCCAGGTTCTGAATTCCTGCTGGGTGGGTCAAGCCAGACTCTCTTCCCTGTTCCATCGCCTCTCCAAAAGTATATTCTGACATTGTTGAGATTTACAGATGAGAAATTGCACACCTGTCAAATCGTTTCTGATTCGAGCACCCGGGTCTACGCTAGGGCACACCACCGACGTCCGTACACGTTCACTGCCATGCCTGAAAGCAAGAGTAGATAAACAAGAGTGTGCAACTCCGGATGGATTGGCCCACGGCGGAATTTTTTGTTGACGTAATCTTTTCGACGACGCACGCGCTGCGAGCCTTTTGGAGAGTTTTCCCTCGTGCACTTGGCTGGGCTTTACACTACAAGGTCGGTGCCCAGCACGTGCTCTCACACTGCTCTGCGGCAAAGCCGCGTTTCTCTGAAAAAAGGTGACGTAAACAAAAAATTCCGCCGTGGGCGCGGGGTATCTGCAGATTCTGCAGGAGAGATCCGGAGTTGCACACTCTTGTTTATCTACTCTTGCTGAAAGGCAGTGAACTTGTACGGCGGCAGTACTCCAGCGCACGGACAATGGGGCTGTTAAGTGATGACGTCACAGTTCGTTCGATACGCATAGCAACGATCCTACTGGGGACAAACAAAAGTAGCGTCGTCTCCACCGAACCAGTTGTCAGTGGCAACATATAGGAATCGTGTACATTTCTTCGTTTCTTCTTTGCTGTTTTCAGTGAGAGTTTTGTTTTCTCTTTGTCCTTGATCTCGACGGCGTTGTCATGCTCATTACCTTACTGAGACGTCTCTTGTGACTGTAGCCAGTGTCATGGAGGATTTTATTGGCGTGACGAGGTAGATCGCCGAGATCGAGCGTGAAAAACGCTGCATTAGTAGCTCCTGTAGAATGTCTTCTGGGATGGCGTATCCATGGTCAACAAAGCCAAGGTGCAAGACAGCATAAGAGATCGTGTAAACGATGTGAACTCCAAAAGGTAAGCTCCTGAACAAGTGGAAAGATATGTGTATTTGCAAACTCTCTCTTCATCCATCGATTGCCGCTATGCATTGCATTTTGTCTTCACAGATAATCTGGACAAATAAATTATATTGTAACTGGAGAGTGCAGTCGTGCTTGGGGCCCATCCCAATGTCATCACATGGCTGTGGTGACTAGTGTATACCTGGGAGAATTTTCCTCAACTGAGACGGAGTGTAGATGGATGGATTATGAGAAATGCGAAGATGTGGAGTAAGTTGTGTCGAAGAAATGTGTAATAAAATAAAATTTACTTTACACTCAAACATACACTGTACATGTACATGTAACATCATGATAATGATTCCATCTTCATTATCTCCGCAACAGGTACGCCATACGCACCAAATACATGGTGTGTGTGCACGTGCGCGCTTGCGTGCGCGCGTACATGCACACACTCTCATGCGTGGCCGAGTTGGCCGGATGAACAGACCACGCATTTGCACGAGGTGTCCGTCATGTCATTGGAGTGCTGTACTTTATGACTCGGGCGTAGGAGGGGTTTTGGAAGTGGTACGACCGAAGGTCGGTGCGGCGGAAGGCCGTGTTGGAGGGGGTCTGGCCCCCCCCCCCCCCCGGGAAAATTTTGTAAAAGACACAAAATCCTGCGTTCTGGGAACTTCTGGCGCAGTGTGCAGTCGAGTCGAGTACAGTACTCAGTACGACTGCAGATGCATAACAGATCTACGAGTACGAGTCTAGAAAAAGGTCTGATGCGCATATGCAAATATCGATGGATCCTGATTTTTTATTACGGTTTTGCACGTTCCAGACGGACCACACTTTTCGAAAAGTGGTGCGGCCATGGTCGTACCAGTCGTAGCGGGTGCTACGCCCCTGTGACTTTATTCCAAAATACAGAGGCAATATGCTTTGGTTATTCCAAAATAGTATGTCGTGCCCCTGTCAAATGGAGTTTGTGTCTATGCTCAGCGGGTATCGGGCCATGACGCCACACTGCAGTCAGCGCTGGAATTAAAATAGCACTTCATGGATTATTTTAAATAATTTCCTTTGCATTTACTTTGTTGAGCCCGTGGTTTCATTTCTGTGTTCTGTTATGATTGGCCTCTGGAAATAATCGGAGTGGATGTCATTTTTTGTCATATGTGTGTGCCTTGTGCAACAGGTTCAAGGCTAGATGCACTTCATTCGGCGTGGGATCTCGGCGTCTGGGACCTGATAACGTCTTGGTTGGATGGGTGATCAAGGATGATACTACTCGGCACACGAATGTACATGTCAATGTAGTTTTTACTTTTTCAGAGCTGCACTATTTACGCCTTGATGCTTACTTCGGTGCTAGTGTCATGTCCGTGTGTTGCTACAATGTCATTATCTGTATTGTATTCCGTCTGCTTATACATGTGTCTTTATGAAGTGTTTGCCGTGGCGGCGATGTGTCTTGTCGATCAATAGTGTTGTGAAACCTATCACTATTCTTGCTTTGCTGGCTACTCGCTCGCTCCGCGCCGTGCACGCTACTAGGTCTTGTAGTATATAGCTCAATGCTTTGCATCGATCGCTGGTTGTTGTTGTTCTTGTTGCTTCTCTGTTGTTTGAGCTTGGTCCTAGAGTGAAGCTTTGGTCTTCTTGTGTGGTGAGGGTGAGGAATGGGTATCTGGACTCCTGGTATATTTCCGTAAAGAACCTGGAATTGTAGAATCCTGAGAGTATGTCTGGCCCACTCCCCGGTCATGACATTAGCGTGTTTCCCCCGGATTATTTCTATCATCCTGCGTGTTCTTGGGCTGAGCGAGCACATGCACGAGTGTGCAGCTATAATCCTGTGTATCTTTGGTTACACTTTGTTCTGCAATGCATGTACCTTGTAACAGTCTGTGCTTGCACTGCTTTGTGTGGCCTGCGTATTTCAGGACTATTCAGTGCATCAGACCCAGATTGGTTTGGTTGCCGGATGATCTCTTGTTGCGTCGCTCTGTGTTTTGTATTAATCAATTTTTGGGCTTGAGAATTGAGCTGGTGTGTGGTTCTCAATATGAAAACATCATGCTGGTGCTCTGTGTTTCGATTATCGACTGTCCGAGCAGTCACGATTCATTACCAGAACGGTCAATACTGTAGTCTCTTCACGTGTTTGTGTTTTCGCCGGGGGAATTAGCGGTGACGTTGCACATAGAACGGCAGTGTTGCATCACTGGACGACCCTGCCTCTGCATCTGACTTCATTTCCCCAGGATCTGGTGCAGATACACCAGACAGTCACTTCCTGTAAACACGCAAACAGCAAAAGAAGAGATCCCGCAAATCAGGAAAAACCATTGTGGAAAATATCGAGTAGATCATACACCATTCAATAATCTGGAGTAATTATTACAGTGAGACAAACACTTCAAACAGTGCTCTCTCTCTCTCTCTCTCTCTCTCTCTCCATCCTTCCAAAATACCCTGTAACAATTCCCTGGAATTATTTTATTTTATATTCTCAGGACATCATTCTGAACAACTTCTTCTTATGATGGGTCTTCAATCACCACGGAGGGCGAGAATACAGCTAAGTCATGCAGTCTACGAGAGGTGCGGGCTGTTATGGATATGGAGGCTGATATTGTGCCAGCGTGAGGGCAGAGACAGAAAGAAGACACTGATTTCTTGAACAACTCACCTACTTCGAAGTACATATAATCGAATCCACAGGGAGCGCTCGTACTTTGATCCATCAGGAGGCGAAGAATCTTCAAAGCACTCTCAAACACGGAGTTTTACAGTGGGCAGCCAATTTCACAGCCATTATGAAGGCCCTCGACGACTACAGGAGATTTGTAGAGGAAAGAACAAGGAGTAAAGAGCGACAACAATCGCTTGACGAAAAAGCAAAGAAAAACTGCTCTCTCTCCAGTCATTTAGATGCTGTTGCCCTTCACAACTGGTTCCATCCAGAGGACGCGACTTTTGTTTGTCCCCAGTGCTCTCCGTTGCTATGCGTATCGAAGGGGCCGTGACGTCACACTTAACAGCCCCATGGGGCTGTTAAGTGATGACGTCACAGTTCCTTCGATACGCATAGCAACGATCCCACTGGGGACAAACAAAAGTAGCGTCGTCCCCACCGAACCAGTTGTCAGTGGCAACAGGAATCGTGTACATTTCTTCGTTTCTTCTTTGCTGTTTTCAGTGAGTGTTTTGTTTTCTCTTTGTCCTTGATCTCGACGGCGTTGTCGTGCTCATTACCTTACTGAGACGTCTCTTGTGACTGTAGCCAGTGTCACGGAGGATTTTATTGGCGTGACGAGGTAGATCGCCGAGATCGAGCGTGAAAAACGCTCTGCATTAGTAGCTCCTGTAGAATGTCTTCTGGGATGGCGTATCCATGGTCAACAAAGCCAAGGTGCAAGACAGCATAAGAGATCGTGTAAACGATGTGAACTCCAAAAGGTAAGCTCCTGAACAAGTGGAAAGATATTGTATTTACAAACTCTCTCTTCATCCATCGATTGCCGCTATGCATTGCATTTTGTCTTCACAGATAATCTGGACAAATAAATTATATTGTAACTGGAGAGTGCAATCGTGCTTGGGACCCATCCCAATATCATCACATGGCTGTGGTGACTAGTGTATACCTGGGAGAGTTTTTCCTCAACTGAGACGGAGTGTAGGTGGATGGATTATGAGAAATGCGAAGATGTGGAGTAAGTTGTGTCGAAGAAATGTGTAATAAAATAAAATTTACTTTACACTCAAACATACACTGTACATGTACATGTAACATCATGATAATGATTCCATCTTCATTATCTCCGCAACAGGTACGCCATACGCACCGAATACATGGTGTGTGTGCACACGCGCGCTTGCGTGCGCGCGTACATGCACACACTCTCATGCGTGGCCGAGTTGACCGGATGAACAGACCACGCATTTGCACGAGGTGTCCGTCATGTCATTGGAGTGCTGTACTTTATGACTCAGGGGCGTAGGAGGGGTTTTGGAAGTGGTACGACCGAAGGTCGGTGCAGCGGAAGGCCGTGTTGGAGGGGGGTCCGCCCCCCCCCGGGAAAATTTTGTAAAAAAGACACAAAATCCTGCGTTCTGGGAACTTCTGGCACACTTCTGGCGCAGTGTGCAGTCGAGTCGAGTACAGTACTCAGTTCGACTGCAGATGCATAACAGATCTACGAGTACGAGTCTTGAAAAAGGTCTGATGCGCATATGCGAATATCGATGGATCCTGAATTTTTATTACGGTTTTGCACATTCCAGACGGACCACACTTTTTGAAAAGTGGTGCGGCCATGGTCGTACCAGTCGTAGCGGGTGCTATGCTCCTGTGACTTTATTCCAAAATAGTATGTCGTGCCCCTGTCAAATGGAGTTTGTGTCTATACTCAGCGGGTATCGGGCCATGATGCCACACTGCAGTTAGCGCTGGAATTAAAATAGCACTTCATGGATTATTTTAACTAATTCCCTTTGCGTTTACTTTGTTGAGCCCGTGGTTTCATTTCTGTGTTCTGTTATGATTGGCCTCTGGAAATAATCGGAGTGGATGTCATTTTTTGTCATATGTGTGTGCCTTGTGCAACAGGTTCAAGGCTAGATGCACTTCACATTCGGCGTGGGATCTCGGCGTCTGGGACCTGATAACGTCTTGGTTGGATGGGTAATCAATGATGATACTACTCGGCACACCAATGTACATGTCATGTAGTTTTTACTTTTTCAAAGCTGCACTATTTACGTCTTGATGCTTACTTCGGTGCTAGTGTCGTGTCCGTGTGTTGCTACAATGTCATTATCTGTATTGTATTCCGTCTGCTTATACAATGTACATGTGTCTTTATGAAGTGTTTGCCGTGGCAGCGATGTGTCTTGTCGATCAATAGTGTTGTGAAACCTATCACTATTCATGCTTTGCTGGCTACTCGCTCGCTCCGCGCCGTGCACGCTACTAGGTCTTGTAGTACAGTCCGTATCGCCTATAAGGTTGGCGGCTATAGTAATATACCGGGTATAGTGATCAATTTCTCAAATTCATTTTCATTTGCCATAACTAAGTATACACAGTTATCGCGTATAGTAATAATCGTCTATAGTAATATATCGCCTATAGTGATCAAATTCATATTTCAAAAGACGTTTATTACACTATTTTTGCATCAGTTATAGTGATTGATGTAAAATCAAGCGATGTCAGAGTAGAACATGGTGTTACTTGTTCGTGAAGAACTTGTCCAGTGAGTGTTGTTTGGTGAGTTTTGCTTGTACAAGTTGCCAAAATACGCCTCCATCATGAGGAAATCCTGATTTTGTGTGTCATGAGCTACAGCCAGCTACATGTACATGACATTGTACATGTATGTAGTGCGTATGTGCACGGCGCGCTGAGTCGTTTGACACCCCACTCGCATACATTGCATGCAGTATCGGTCATAGTGATATATCGCTTATACTGATAAAATGCTCAAAATCAAACACCAACGCTATAGGCGATACTGACTGTATATAGCTCGATGCTTTGCATCGATCGCTGGTTGTTGTTGTTCTTGTTGCTTCTCTGTTGTTTGAGCTTGGTCCTAGAGTGAAGCTTTGATCTTCTTGTGTGGTGAGGGTGAGAAATGGGTATCTGGATTCCTGCATGGTATATTTCCGTAAAGAACCTGGAATTGTAGAATCCTGAGAGTATGTCTGGCCCACTCCCCGGTCATGACATTAGCGTGTTTCCCCCGGATTATTTCTATCATCCTGCGTGTTCTTGGGCTGAGCGAGCACATGCACGAGTGTGCAGCTATAACCCTGTGTATCTTTGGTTACACCTTGTTCTGCAATGCATGTACCTTGTAACAGCCTGTGCTTGCACTGCTTTGTGTGGCCTGCGTATTTCAGGACTATTCAGTGCATCAGACCCAGGTTGGTTTGGTTGCCGGATGATCTCTTGTTGCGTCGCTCTGTGTTTTGTATTCATCAATTTTTCGGCTTGAGAAGTGAGCTGGTGTGTGGTTCCCAATATGAAAACATCATGCTGGTGCTCTGTGTTTCGATTATCGACTGTCCGAGCAGTCACGATTCATTGCCAGAACGGGCAATACTGTAGTCTCTTCACGTGTTTGTGTTTTCGCCGGGGGAATTAGCGGTGACGTTGCACATAGAACGGCAGTGTTGCATCACTGGACGACCCTGCCTCTGCATCTGACTTCATTTCCCCAGGATCTGGTGCAGATACACCAGACAGTCACTTCCTGTAAACACGCAAACAGCAAAAGAAGAGATCCCGCAAATCAGGAAAAACCATTGCGGAAAATATCGAGTTGATCATACACCATTCAATAATTTGGAGTAACTACAGTGAGACAAACACGTCAAACAGTGCTCTCTCTCTCCATCCTTCCAAAATACCCTGTAACAATTCCCTGGAATTAATTTATTTTATATTCTCAGGACATCATTCTGAACAACTTCTTCAATGGGTCTTCAATCACCACGGAGGGCGAGAATACAGCTAAGTCATGCAGTCTACGGGAGGTGCGGGCTGTCATGGATATAGAGGCTGATATTGTGCCAGCGTGAGGGCAGAGACAGAAAGAAGACACTGATTTCTTGAACAACTCACCTACATATAATCGAATCCACAGGGAGTGCTCGTACTTTGATCCATCAGGAGGCGAAGAATCTTCAAAGCACTCTCAAACACGGAGTTTTACAGTGGGCAGCCAATTTCACAGCCATTATGAAGGCCCTCGACGACTACAGGAGATTTGTAGAGGAAAGAACAAGGAGTACAGAGCGACAACAATCGCTTGAAGAAAAAGCAAGGAAAAACTGCTCTCGCTCCAGTCATTTAGATGCTGTTGCCCTTCACAACTGGTTCCATCCAGAGGACGTGACTTTTGTTTGTCCCCGGGGCCCCAGTGCTCTCCGTTGCTATGCGTATCGAAGGGGCCGTGACGTCACACTTAACAGCCCCATTCACAACAGACACAATAGACACCACATGCACGTGTAGTAGAATAGTAGTAGAAGAATTTATTATTTTGATAGGGAAGGCCCTACAGACGTTGCCGTCTTGTTACAGGGAACCCTAAGTGCTCTTTACAGAGCGAAACAAAAACGGATAGATGCTCAACCTGACGACACGAGACAGGCAGAGAATTCCACCTATCAGCGCCAAGGAAAGAAATAGAGAACATGCCATATCTAGTGGTAGCAGCGGGCAAAGAAAGTGAAGAGAATGATTGCCCTCTAGTGCGCCTCTCGGTGCAAGTAGCAGCCGACTGGAGGGTGAACATTGAGGAAAGAAGAGGACTTGTAAGCTGATGAATACAGCGGAAAACAAAAATAAAAAGCCTCAAGTTGAGACGAGATTCGAGGGAGTATAACTTAGCGTGCCGCAAAACAAAGACAGTCGGGGTACGGCGAGGGAGACCAAAAACCTTTTTCATGCTGATATGACTTAAAGTAACAAGGCGAGAGTATAAAGATGGTGTAAGGCAGTGAGCATACGAGTTGCTGGCGTATTCAATAGTGGATTGGATGAGGGAAAAATAAAATATTCGCTTAGTTGTGTGGTCTACTGTACGGCGGCAGCGGCGGAATGCTCCTATCTTCTTATAAACAGATGCACATACATGGTTGACTTGATCCTCAAAGGTGAGGTGTTGGTCAATAATGAGGCCAAGATAACGCGCTGTGGCAGAAGGTCGAATATCGACACCACCGCATGCAATGGTAAGATCCGGCGGAAGAGGCAGAGCCTTCTTCCGAAGCACCATGAACTTCGTTTTCTGGGCATTTAAGATGAGACCAATGCTTCCAAGGTACGTATTTAGTCTGTTCAACTCACTTGTCAACTTGTGCTGAAGTTCTCCAGTAGACTGACAGTGTATATAAAAGGCGATATCGTCAGCATACTGTTGGGACTCTGCGTGGCGAAGTACTCCAGGGACATGTCGCACGTACAAAGAGAATAACAGATGCCCCAGCACCGACCCTTGCGGAACGCCTCGTGTACAATGTGTCTCGTCTCCTCTGGTATTTCCAATTTTCACCTGTTGTCGTCGACCCTGGAGATAGCTGGAGAACCACTTTAGTGCTACTCCGCTTATGTCAATAGCTTGAAGCTCGTTAAGTAGTAGTTCATGGCGTACCCGATCGAAGGCCTTGCTCATGTCCACGAGTACAACCCCGCAATACTCGCCCTTGTCCACACTCATCATCCAGCGGTTTACTGCGAGAGTTAACGCATCCTCACAGGAGTGCCCTCTGCGGTAGGCGAATTGCTCGTCTGGGAGAATACGAAGCTCAGCGTGATCTTGAAGGAACCGAATCATTTGCCGATGTACTACCTTTTCAAGGACACCACATGCACGTGTACACTCCACACAGAACATCATTACTGACGAGGAACAGCACACAATGGAAAAGAAGAATGACCTGGAATTCGTCTACAGAGTATTCTATTATACTGAAGATAAAGAACGTCGAATAACCACGAAGTATCCCGAATGGGTCAGCAATGTACATTGTACTTCGAAGAGTTGAAGATCATCAACAGACTGTCTCCTTGGTAACTAAGTTTATGATACAGAGTGTACTTCAAACCGATTGGAAAATGCTAGATTGGATTGAATTGTGACACAATGATACAAAACAGTGTATGGAAATGCATCTACTTGCAAGTAAGCAAAACTAATAATTATAAGATGCCGCATGTGAAAATCAGCACTGTACCATAGTTATAGTAACACTAAACTTACTCCCAAAGAGTCCAGACTGTAGTCTAACTAGTGACAGTAGTTTGATTCAACGACAGCTCCAGCACCCCAGCAATTCAGTTGACTTCCGCACCGCTCACGAGACAAGATCATAAAATGCTACAATATACACTGGAACTGAAAGGAAATCTTATGCCAAAACATCCACGGAGGAATCTCCTTCTGATCTTGCTCGACCATTCTTTCAATAGATGACTTGCACAAAGATTGTCTGGGTTCGAGACGGGGCAAGTGGACCTTCTGACTCTGACTTCCCCACCTTTTGAGTTCGTGACTTTCGAAGTTTCGCTTTTTGCCTGAAGAACACTGAGCTATTTTTTTTGGCTAGAGAGTAGAGTTGTTTTGATTCGGCTTGTATCGTCATGCCGAAGCGCTGCTACGCTCCTGAATGCACTAGCAGACGAGAGATGGAACTGAGGCTCCCATTCCATACGTTCCTTTCCGAGCCGGCCGGCCGGGAGGCAGAAAAATGAGGGAATATTATGTTAGTATCATTGGTGTAGGCTGCAACAAGCACGTCGTGGTCCTGAAGTGTGACTACCTGTACCTTCCCGCAGTGGAAGCGAAGTCAAGCACAACGAAAGTTTGTGGACGTCTGAGAAAGAACTCGACTCGATGATTCCCTTCGATTCGGCTTCACTAGATCCAGAGCGACCCTCTCCTGAGGACAGACTGCGGAGAGGCCAGGAACCTGCCGAGTCACGAGTGGAAGCCCAAACCACGAAAATGAGGGGTGGAAGGACTGAGTGTGAGAGCCAGATGGCCTTTAGTAGTACTTCAAGTAGTATCTGAGTTGAAGGAGAGAACAAATGTGCTGGAGAAACGCTGCGAAGTCCTCAGGCCTAATGTGTACTAGCTACTGTTGAAGTCTCACTTGTTCCGATATGAACACTTCATCAGCCCTGACTCTGAGCAGCTGTATCTAGACTTGGACTTAGGCCAGAGACATAGCATTGTAAACCTTACTGAAGCCATATGTATCCAATGCCTGGCTCTAGTGAGAAAGCAGTTTGGCGCAGGCTCGCAAACTATGATTGAATC